GGGAGCCCCGTGCCCGCGTGGGCCCAGCTTTCACGGGCTCCCCTCCCCGCTTCCCTGCTCGCCTGCCCCAGACCTGTCTTGATCTCACCCATGAGCTTCCCTCCCTCGTGTCTGCACAGCCTTTGTGTGCCTTCTCTTGTTCTCAGGGAATTCGTAGGGGTTCCCCCCATCCCTCCCCCTCCTGCACTTCTTTTGAAAACCTTCTGGCAGGAAAATAACTGGGGAGCCGAGAAGTCTGGGGAGATGGGCTGCAGCGCGTGCCCGAGCCTCTGCCTCGGCCTGAGTGATGGGTCCCGGCGGCAAGGGGCTGGTGTGGCGGAGCCGGGGAGGGCTGGGGCGTGGGGCACCCTTCGAGTGGACCCTGGAGAGCTGAAGCCCAGCAGGCCGGGCCTCCTCCCCTCCACGTGGCCCGCACACAGCGGCCTGGGCGCTCCGACGGCCGGGGCAGCCGCTGTTCCCAGGGTAGCTCGTCTGTGTCCTGCGGCCCCCTGGCCCCAAGCAAGTGCCCGCCCCCCCTTGCAGATGTCTCAGGGCAACCCCAACCTTGGCAACCTGTTGAATATCAAGACAGAAGTGGAGGGGAGCCCCGCGGTGGAGTCCTCGCCCTTCCTGGGCAAGGCCGTGAACGCACTGGTGCAGGACAAGCTGTCAGAGCCCTGGAAGGTGTACCTGCGGAGGTGAGGGGCTCGCCGGGGCGGCGGGGCAGCAGCCCACCCTCAGCCCGCAGACCAGTGCCCAGCCCCCGCACCCGCCTGCCGCCCCGGAGCCCCAGGGGCCCTCTGACCCGACCCCTTCCGGCCAGGTTCGGCACCAAGGACTTCTGCGACGCCCAGTGCGACTTCCTCCACAAGGCCCACTTCCACTGCGTGGTGGAGGAGTGCGGCGCTCTCTTCAGCACCTTGGACGGGGCCATCAAGCACGCCAAGTGAGTGGGGGCTGGGCTGGGGGCGCCTTCATCAGCCCGCTCAGCGCTGGGAGGCTGAAGGCTGCACAGGCCCCACCTGCCCTCCGGGGGGGGCCCGCTGGCTGTTCCCACCAGACCCAGCAGCTGAATTGCTGCTTCGCAGAGGGTGCTGCTCCCCCAAAAGGCGAGACCTGTCCCCCACCAGCTCAGCCCCTAGCTGGGTTGCCTGAGCCCCACCCTGGCCCCACCCGAACCTGGAAACCTGACGGCAGGTGCTCTGGCACCGAGGCCGCGGCAGCCACTCACCCAACGGCCAGCGTGTCCTGCCGGGGACCGGCCCTGACCCGAGGCTGGGGCCCCGGTGCAGGCCGCTCCAAGCCGCAGTCTTGCAGAGGTTCTCTCTGGCCTAGAAATAAGGGCCTTGCTTGTAAACCCCTCAAGCTGAAAAGCAGCCAGCCCAGCACCTGTTACAGGTGAACCCTGACCTGCTGCGGGCCTTTAGGGCAGCTCTTCCCCGCTCTCGGCCGCAGGCCAGGCTTCCCGCAGGCTCTGCCCTGCCAAGAGCCGGCTGTGAGGTACTCGAGGCAGGCCGGGGCCCCTCCCAGCCCCCGACACAGGACACGGCCGTTTTCTCTCCGGCCTGTGTCCTGTGTCCGGCTTCGGCTTCGCAGGCAGCCTGCGGAGCCCGTGCTGGGCCACGGAGGGGACGCGAGGCCCCCGGGCGCCCCGCCAGGTGGGGCCGCCCTGCCCGGGCCCTCCGGCTCCGCCTGATGCCCGTGTGCCTCCCGCAGCTTCCACTTCCGGACGGAGGGAGGAGCAGCGAAAGGAAGCTCGGAGGCGCCCTTCCCGGCCGCGGCCGAGACCAAACCGTCTTTGGCCCCCTCGTCCCCTCCGGCGCCGCCTGCCAGCGTGGCCGCGGCTTCCTCCCTGGAGGGGCTCGCACCCAGCCCGGCCACGGTGCCCTCCACACCCACCCTGCTGGCCTGGAAGCAGCTGGCTTCCACCATACCCCAGATGCCTCAGATTCCAACGTCAGTGCCTCACCTGCCCACTTCGCCCTTGGCAACGACTTCTCTAGAGAACGCCAAGCCCCAGGTCAAACCCGGATTCCTCCAGTTCCAGGAGAAGTGAGTCCCTCGATGAGCCGGGAGCCCCGTTCCCCCGCGTGTCCGGGATAGGTGCTAGTGAGGGCGGCGAGCCGGCCTGCGCCTTGCTCTGCAGGCAGCCCTGGCTGTCCCCAGCCTCTCTGGGACACAGTCACCCGGCATCAGGGGATGTCCTTCTAGCCAAAGACGCTGCTGCTCGGCCCCCCTGCTGTTCCCGGAGCAGGAGGCCGTGGGGCGCCGGGAGGTGGCGGCCGTGGCAGCCACTGCCCCAGAGGCCAGTGCCAACACCGTGAGGACCGGCCAGGGGCTGCGAGCGGCGGCCCCCCGCGGAGGGACTGAGCTCCCTCCAGGCCGCCTGTGGTCTGGGGCTCGTGCCCCGCGGAGTCTTTGCGCACGAGGCAGGCGTGGGGGTGGCGCCCCCTGCACAGAGGTCTGAGCTCCCCGGGGAGGGGGGGGACCCTCCTTGCTGGGTGGTGGTGGCTCCTCGCGGCGAGAACGGTGACTCTGTATCGTATGTGTGCGGCTTCCTGTTCTCAATAAACGTAATAAATTGGATGTGAACACACACCGCTGAGTGGCCGCTGTCCTCCCTCGCTGGGCACCTGGGGCCGGGCCCCGGCACGGAAGGCCCCTGCGCCCCTCTCTTCGCCCCCAGCTCCCCTTCCTAGCTCCCCGCCCCAGAGTGGCAGCCCCTAGCTTCCCAGATGCGGCCAGTTCCTGCCCCGGCGCCACGGGACGGCCACAGCACCGACAGTTGGGGAGAGCCGGGCCCCCGCGCCACCAGCGCCGCCCGGGCCTGGGAGACCCGTCGGCAGCTCGCGGCAGCCGGCACAGGCCTGGCCCACGCCACGCCCGTGCCGACCCACACTCGCCAGGCTGGGGGGGTTCTCCGGGTGGGTGGGGGCCCTTAGCCCCACATCAACCCCAGAAGCCCCGGTGGCCGTGAGCCTCAGCAAGGACCTGACACCAGGCACACGTCCCCGCCGGCCAGGGCCCCCTGGCAGCAGAGCGCCCTGAGGGCTGCCCACCGTCCACACCCTGTCAACCAGCCAGTCCGGGCCACTGCCCATGCCAGGCCAGCCAAGCTCTCACTGGCAGCCAGCCAGGGCTGGCAGTACCATCCTTTATTTTCATATCCCAGAAGTTACTGCTGCATCCTTATCTATAATCCTGAGGTGTGGCCTTGGAAACTACGTGTCCCAGCATGCAGCGCTCTGGGCAGCCTGCTTATGCACCATCAGCTCCAAAAAAAAAGAAAGGACAGGAGTGCATGCTGGGATCTGTAGTCTCCTCGGGCTGACTCGTCCCGTTGAGTGAGAGGGGTCACTCCTCTTGACCCCACCTCGGGAGGCCGGGGAGCGGAACCCCAGCATGAGCAAATGTCAGCACGTCGGTGGGGACGGCCACAGGAATGCCAATGACCTTCTGGGCTGTGGTTTCATTCCAGCGATCCCTGCCTGGCGACAGACTGCAAGTATGCCAACAAGTTCCACTTCCACTGTCTCTTTGGGAACTGCAAGTACGTCTGCAAGACTTCCGGCAAGGCCGAGTCCCACTGCCTGGACCACATCAACCCCAACAACAACCTGGTGAATGTGCGGGATCAGTTCGCTTACTACTCCCTGCAGTGTCTCTGCCCCAACCAGGTCAGTGCGCGGGGGGCGGGCAGCCGAGGCCCCCGGGGTGGGGCAGGGAGGCCGGCGCCCAGGTCCGCTCCTGCAGGCACAGACTCTGCTCCTCCTGCCTGTTTTAAGTTGGCCTCCCCAGACTCTGGAAAGACGCTGTGTGCCCTGGGGCCCCTGGTGGCCGTCAGGGTGACTAAGTGCTGGGTGGCCACTGTGACTTGGCATCACTGTGCCCCTCTGCCTTTGAGACTTTCCTTGTAACCTAGGACTTTCAGTTAGTCCCACTGGGCATATAGAGATGGAGCCGTCCGTGCCCCGTACGGGAAAGACGGATTCGACACTCACCGTAAAGGCTGGTGGTGACTGCCTGGCAGAGCGTATTGAGCTGGAGTTGGCGCCTCCATCTGGGCAGACAGAAGAATGCTTGGATAGATTAGTGATGTCTGAGGTAGAGAAGAGTGCCGGGAGGGATTGGTGATGTCTGCCCTGAGTGTGGATTAGAAGTGATGGCAAGTCACCAGGTTACTGTGTCCCAGTTGAGAGATGAGGCAAACTCCTCCTCAGCATGTAAAAGGTCGTCACACATTGTGTCATCCTGATGCTGAGTGTGGAAGAACACGTGTGAGGGGCTCACAACAGCCCAGCCACCCGGGGCAGGTGTGAGCTCAGGGCAGTCACGCCAGCCTGCCCTTCCCTGCAGCACTGCGAGTTCCGGATGCGTGGGCACTACCACTGTCTCCGGACCGGCTGCTACTTTGTGACCAACATCACCACCAAGCTGCCATGGCACATAAAGAAGCACGAGAAGGCCGAGCGGCGGGCAGCCAACGGGTTCAAATACTTCACCAAGCGTGAGGAGTGTGGCAGGCTAGGTAACCACAGCCGGGGGTGGGGCGTGGGGGGACTGGTGGCAGTGGGCAGCCCCATTGGCCTGGGCCACCTCGCTGGCACCCATCTCCTGCTCCCACACGAGGCTCCGCTTTCTAAAACACGGAGAGGCCGGGTGTTGTCAAACTAGGAAAACACTCCATACTCAGAGAACCCAGATAAAGGGGCGGGGGTGACTCAGAGCCTCCCACACCCCCCAGCAAAGGCCTGGGGCCCCGTCATCAGCAACCAGCCTAGACTAAGTCTTCCTCCGTTCATTTCAAGAGGGCGGCGGATAAGCCTTGGGCTTCCCAGAGCAGGCTTCCTGCTCCGGCATCTCCTTCCATGCCTCCAACCAGGCACCGACCTGGTCCATGCATTTGCTCAGGAGCTGTGTGTGGGGCCCCGTGCTGCAGCGGGGCAGGGAGTGGGGTGGCAACGGCAGCCTGAGCCTTTGAGGGTCTCCCGTCCTCCCATGGCCAGCCCCAGGCTCAGTGCTGTGGGCCTGGTGGGATGATGAGCCCCTGGAGGGCATCTGTGACCCGGGGTGACCAGAGTAGGTGCGCAAATGGTCCCAAACTGGGCAGCAGAGGCCTTGATGTTAACTCTGCTCCTGGGAGCTTAGCCCACCACCTCGGAACAGGTGCCCCTGGGGAGTCCCTGGTGCCCACTGCCCTGGGAGTGGGGAGGGGTCCCAGTGCCAGCAGGCTGAGGGTAGAGCCCAGCCTCCTGTCTCCTGGGGGAGCCACATTTTCCTGGGCCAGCAGAGGTGGGCCCGGAACCTGCCCAGCTCAGCCTGGAAACCGGAGGCAGGTGGAGCCAGGCCGGGCAGGGGGAGGGCTGGCCCCAGGGCTCTTGTGGCTGAGCTGGGGAAGGGGGTGGGGGGGAGGGTCTGCTGCAGGCCTCATGGGGTGGGGGAGACACTCAATGTCAACTGCCAGGAAGGAAGGGAAACAAATCTTTCCTTCGAGTGTTAATTTAGAAAGAATTCGTGGCCTGGGAGAGGGCTGGTAACCATGGCAGCCACTGTCAACACTGGCGGCGAGGCTGCCCGGGGCTGGCTCACAGGTGTCAGGGTAGTCCCGTGTTGCTGTTATTTACTCAACTTTGGGTGTTTTTGGTGGTAGCTGGGCCAAACAAAGCCAGGGATGATACCAGACACCTGGCCAGCTCAGGAGCCATGGCAACGGGCAGGCCTTCACCTGCCCTCTGCTGATACAGTTTCAATCCCACAACTCCATTTACTCTCAGCCAGAGCATAGCAGGGTGGAGGGGGCAGGGCAGAGGGCTGCCATGTATGAGTGAAGTCTGGGGGTAGCAGGACCCCGGCCTCCTGGAGATGGGGCACAAGTGGCCTGGGTGGTGGCTGACCGAAGGGACCCCACGCACTGCTCAGTGTGCGGAGCCTGGGTAGGCCGGCCCGCCCCTGTCCGGTGCCGCTGTGCCAGGCGAGGGACGCTGGGTAGCAGGTGGCCCAGGGCCTCCTGGGGCGGGGGTGGGCGCGGGGGGACGAGGCACGCCTCCGTGGAGGTCGCCCGGCTGGCGTGTCGGCCACGCTTCCCCTGCCCAGAATGGTGCCCGCCGGGCGGCAGTGCCCCGAGCACGGCCAGCTTGGGGGCTCACGCGAGGGGCCGTGTCCGCAGGCTGCAAGTACAACCAGGTGAACAGCCACTTCCACTGCATCCGGGAGGGCTGCCAGTTCTCCTTCCTCCTCAAGCACCAGATGACCTCCCACGCCCGGAAGCACATGCGGAGGATGCTGGGGAAGAACTTCGACCGCGTGCCCCCCTCCCAGGTGAGCGCCTGGGCGGGCAGAGGCGGCCCCGCCCCTGCCCCCCGGCAGTCTGCCCCCGGCGCGGCACGGCCCAGTCCAGCTTGCTCAGGGCTCCCGCCTCCTTTCAGGGCCCCCCGAGCCTGATGGACCCCGAGACCGACGAGTACATGGACTACACGGGCTGCAGCCCGGGCGCCGTGTCCTCGGGGTCGTCCACCATGGACCGGAGCTGCTCCAGCACCCCCGTGGGGAACGAGAGCACGGCAGCAGGTGAGGGCGGCCAGGAGGGGCGCGGGGCTTCCGGCGGGCGCCAGGCGCCGCCTCCCACGGCGCAGCCCGTCGGGCCCCTCGGGATAGGAGGTGCATGGCCAGCGGCTTAGCGGAGGGCCGCCGGGGCCAGGAGAGCCAGCTGGCCGGGGCCCTGGGCACAGAGGCCGCCCTCCCCCGCACTTAGCTTCCAGGCCAGGGCCAGGCCGCCTCCCCGGGCGCTCAGGATGGGCAGCAGGAGTGGGGCTGCCCGCGGGCACTGCCCGGTGGTCGCCCCCCGGCCCCTCTGCCGCCGTCGCCGGCTGGCCAGGGCCCAGCCAGGCCCAGCCCTCGGACCCGGCCCGGCGCCCGTCTCTCTCCTCCGGCTCCCTCCTCTGCTCTGCGGCACCTCTCTGCTCCTCATCTGTCCACGTATTTTCACATCACTCGCGCTGCCATTGGGTTTCTCATTTTGGTTCTTTATTGTCTGTCTGTTCTTTGTTTTGGTTTTCTTTTTTTTTCTGCTTCTCTCCACCCTCTCCAGGCTGCCCGGCGCCTCCTCCTCCTCCTCTTCCTCCTCCTGCTGGCGACGAGGCTGCCCGCGTGGCTCCACCGCCCCCTCTGACCCCGGCCTTCTCAGCGGCCGTCCTCCGGGCGCCCCTCCCCCCCCTCCCATGCCTCTTCTCTCCGGCCTGTCTCTCATACTCTCTGCTCAGAGCCTCCCGGGGCCCGCCCCGCCCCGTCAGCAGCCCACCCAGCCTCCCGCCCATCACTGCCACTCCACCTTGCGTAAAAAGTGACGTCCCCCTAGTTCAGGACGCCGCAGGTAACTGGCACACGCCTCCTCTTCAGTGTCTGTCGCCCCGGCCCGCCTGTGCGGCTGTGGGCCAGCACCCGACCCTTCCTGTGGCCTGCCAGGGCGCCCCGGGCCTCACCCGCCTCGGCAGCTGACCAGGGTGGCCGTGCCCGCCCGCCCCAGAGCCTGTCCCTTCCGCCCTTGGGGGTTCACTGGGAGCTGGCACAAGGGAGGGGCAGAGGCTGTTCTCAGGAAGGTGGCTGGGCCCGGGGCCTGCACAGGTGAGGGTCCTAAGACCCCAGTCCCGAGCCACGCAGGCAGGGGTGTGTCCACGGCCCAGGCCAAGGCGGGGCGAATGGCAGAGGCGGGCCCCTCCGACCCAGGTCTGCCGCCGCGGGGTGCCCTGCTCTCCTGGGCCTAGGCCGCCCCCCAGCCCACGCCCCGCCCTTGCTGCAGGCGTGCCTGAGCGCCTGGCACTGAGAGCCAGGACGAAGGCAGAGGGTCCCGGTGCCGTCCAGTCCGGACGTTCTGTCGCTGAGGTCCGTGGCACCCGGCCGGACACGGACACTAACCCCCCGCCCACCACCACGGCCGTCGCTCCAGGCCCCGGCCCTCCCTGGCTCCTGCCAGGTGCCCCGTCCCCCTCATAGCCCGTGGCTTCCCTTCACCTGCTAGGATGGTGGCTGCATCTGTGCCCCAGATGGACAGTGTGGCGGGGTGGCCTGGGGGGCCAGACACGCCGGGGACGGCAGCAGATGACCCGCAGGGGATCCCCGCCCCCGTGGGGCTCGGCCGTGGGTGCCTCTCCCGGAGGCCCGGGCCCCCTCCCTCTGCAGCCGCGGGGCTGCGGCCTCCCAGGAGGCCCGCAGAGGCAGTCTTCAGCCAGGGCGGTGGCCGGGAAGGGGCACCGGGGGCTGGCCCCTGCCGTGGGCCTGGCTGCTCGGCTGCCCCCTCCCCGCCCACTAGGGGCAGGAAGCCTGCAGACGGCAGAGAACCCCCTGGTATCAAGGAGAGGAAGGTGCTGCTCTGGCAAGGGGGGTCCACCCCAAACGGCCCGCGGCGCTTGGCGTCCCAGCGGGGAGAGGGCCGGGGGGCGCAGCCAGGCCGGCCGCCTGGGAACCTGGTTAGCCGGCGGGCGGGAGCAGGCTGCCCCTCATTAGAGGCGGGCACGTGATGGCGTCCTGGCCCCCGGCCAGCCCGGGTAATTACACCGCCGACCTAGATTCCCCCTTCAGTTTCAATTAGCACCAGGACGTGTCCCCACTTCCCACTCCAACTGGTCAGGAAGCAGCCCCCCCCAGCCCCCCCCCCCGCTCTGCCCCGGGGCGCCCTCCTCGGTCATGGGGCAGACTCCCGCGATGGGCCCGGAGGCCCGGGGCTCCCGCCTGCGGCGGGTGGGGCGGCGGGAGGGAGGCTGGGGGCCACCCCCCTCGCCTCAGCCGCACCGGGCCGGGGACCCGGGCGGGCGGGGCCCGGGGCCCCCTGGGGTGTGGGCGCTGACCTGCCCGGCCCTCCCCAGGGAACACCATCTCCATGCCCACGGCGTCGGGCGCCAAGAAGCGCTTCTGGATCATCGAGGACATGTCCCCCTTCGGCAAGCGGCGGAAGACGGCGTCCTCCCGCAAGATGCTGGACGAGGGCATGATGCTGGAGGGCTTCCGGCGCTTCGACCTCTACGAGGACTGCAAGGACGCGGCCTGCCAGTTCTCGCTCAAGGTCACCCACTACCACTGCACGCGCGAGAACTGCGGCTACAAGTTTTGCGGGCGCACGCACATGTACAAGCACGCGCAGCACCACGACCGCGTGGACAACCTGGTGCTGGACGACTTCAAGCGCTTCAAGGCGTCGCTCAGCTGCCACTTCGCCGACTGCCCCTTCTCGGGCACCAGCACGCACTTCCACTGCCTGCGCTGCCGCTTCCGCTGCACGGACAGCACCAAGGTCACGGCGCACCGCAAGCACCACGGCAAGCAGGACGTGATCAGCGCGGCCGGCTTCCGCCAGTTCAGCTCGAGCGCCGACTGCGCCGTGCCCGACTGCAAGTACAAGCTCAAGTGCTCGCACTTCCACTGCACCTACCCGGGCTGCCGCCACACGGTGGTGGGCATGTCGCAGATGGACTCGCACAAGCGCAAGCACGAGAAGCAGGAGCGCGGCGAGCCGCCCGCCGCCTCGCCCGGCCCGGCC